GGGGTTTTAAAATCATGCTTATCACTATATACCACCATAATATTAGCCTTATGCCCAAGAGAAAGACCGACTGTATGCGTGTGCATGCATTAGAGGTGCACTGATACATCGGTCCAATATCAGATCGGTACAAAGAAAATTTGCTGCATCAAGTATCGGTCTAATGGGGCAGATAATTTGGTCAATAAATGCTCGTGTTGCGCAGCCCCAGCGCAGCACTCAGGCAGCGAGGAGCAGAGCCAGCAGTGTGGAGAGCTGCCTCCAGCTGGTCAGTCCGATGTGGTGGAAGGGGAGGCAGGAGAGAAGAGGTATGGAGGGGGCAGATCAACGCCCCCCCATGGTGAGGGAGAAGGGAGGGGCAGATGCTACCAAGGCAGGGTGGGTAGGGCAGAGCCACAGCTTAGGGTGCGGTGGGGGAAGGCAGCTTCCACTACTGTTTGCACCCCGGGAGGGCATGGCAGGGCCGGACATGTGCCCCCTGGATCTGCATGGGGCAGGGCAGGCTGCAACCAGGGCTGCGCATAGCTCCTCTCAGTGGGGGCTCGGTTCGGAGTAGGCATTCGCAATGCCATGTGGATGCTGCATCCACCCCAAGTTTTGCTGCTGCTCCTCTCCCAGTGCCGCCACTGCCAGCTGCAGCCCTGGCTCTTCCCGGTGTTTGGGTAGAAGGCATTGAGTCAGAGAAGCACCAGGAAGCTGGCAGCGGTGGCAGTTCTGGGAGCAGAGCAGCAGTGAAATTTGGGGTGGATGCAGCATCCTTCCAGCACAGCCAGCAGCTGCTGCAAGCCCAGCCCCTGCTGAGAAGAGCCCCGCGCAGCCTCAGCTGCAGCCCTCCCTGTCCAGATCTGGGGGGAAGGGGTGTGTGGCACTGCCCCGTGCCCTCCCAGGGTGCAAGCAGCAGCAGGACTGGCTGGGCAGCACCTACCCCAGCTCTTGCCTCACTCCTCCCTCACCACAGGGGTCTTGATCTGCCCCCCATGTCCCTTCCCTCCCCCCTCCCTTTCCACCACAACAGACTTACCAGCTGGATGCAGCTCTTCAGGGCTGCATATTGGAAAATGGATCGGTATTGGCCTATATGCCTCCTTAAGTATCAGCTATCTGTATTGGCCCCCAAAATCTCTCTGCATCAGCCCCCTAGTGTGCAAGTGGAGTGCTGGCATGAGGGTTACATTATTCTCACACACAAATTTAATGTCATAATGGGGCATGAGGATGAGAGAACTGCAATTGCCTTTACCCGTTTGCCAGCAAGTCTTTAAAAGCGGACAAAGAAATGTGCGTGGAACACATTAAGTAAGATGCAATGTTATTGTTGAGGGGGTGGGGAGAAATGTGTGTATGCTACAATTTTCAAAGTTTTCTTATTCTACCTATTAGATCATTTTTATTCTGTTTTTTTCTTGATGAAAAAAGCTAGACAGAGTAGCAATATACAATACCCTTTTCTCCAGCCTAAGAACTAGAAGGCTTGAAGCACTTATTCAGGTAACATAAGTAGCACCATACTGGTCAGACCAATAGCCCAGTATCTCTACTCTAACAGTGACAGGACTTGAGACTTTAGAGAAAAGGTACTAAATCAGATATAGAGTGATCTATTCCTTACAGTCCCTGGCATCCACCATTACTGGTTTAGAGACACAAGAGGAAACAATTCCAACCATTACGTTCAACAGGTATTTGATAGTTTAATAGTCCTTAATATTTTATGTAAAAATATACATTTTCCTTACGATGTATGCTTATTTGCCTTTTTAACAGAGTTTTTCAAGCCTTTTAGACAAGTGGAATGTTATGTGAAACAGGAACATATTTTCTGAGAGTTATGTTCTAAAGCTAGAAAACTTTGTTTTAGTCAACCATGTGTTGGTTTATGAGGTTTTACCTGCCCTTCATAAGAAGCTCCTTAACTCTAACCAAACATTATAGCTATGTTAATTGTACACTGTCATTCGGCATTTTGAGTTAACCTCTGACATAGTCACCTGTGGTTTACAGAATTACATGTGCACAGTATTTTCAATGTACTGAACTGTCTCTTAAGGACTGAACTCCTGAAGTGTTAGCACACAATTTGTCATCTTAAGAATGTGACTATAGAATATAAGATTGTGAAAGTAGTGGTGCTTCAGCTGATAGAAATATTTCAAAACATGAACACTCTGGCATGCATCAACTGATGCATCACAAGCAAGACTGAGGATCTCATCCTCCCACTGTACTCTGCATTGGTTAGACCACAGCTGGACTACTGCATCCAGTTCTGGTCGCTGCAGTTCAAGAGGGATGTAGGGAAGCTGGAAAGAGTCCAAAGGAGGGCCACAAGAATTATTAGAGGTCTGGAGAACAGACCATATGAGGAGAGGCTGAGGGACTTGGGACTATTCAGCCTGGAAAAAAGAAGACTCAAACGAGACTTGGTAGTAGCCTTTAACTATATAAGGGACAAACATCAGGGGCTAGGAGAACACGTGTTCACCAAGGCACCCCAGGTGAAGACTAGGAATAATGGTCATAAACCTATAGAGGATTGCTTCAGATTAGACATTAGGAAAAACTTCTTTATGGTTCGTGTGTCCAGAGTCTGGAATAGACTCCCTCCAGAGGTAGTACAATCATCTTCAGGGAAGGTGACTGGATGCACACCTTGCTGGGGTCATCTGACCTCAGCAGTCTTTCCTGCTTTGAGCAGGCAGGCTGGACCTGATGATCTCTAAGGTCCCTTCCCACCCCTAACTGGTATGAATCTATGAAACCACAACTTAGTCCAAGAGTCTATCTTCTCTCTACAAAGGAGTATTTTGACAACTCTTCTGCTGACAACCATTACTAAAGTTCCCATTCTTAATAAATTGCTACATCAATAATCTAATTAGCAGCAATGGGAGAAAAAAAGTCTTCTAGTCGACATCTGCTCTTTGCACTTCTGTTTATGTTGTGTTTTGGTATTTCATTGCTTTAGTTTTAATATGGTTCCTTCACTGCCAGCACTTAAGCAGTCAAACTGTTCCCTTGATTTTTTAGTCAGTTTTTAGGTCATTTTCTTTTTCTCATTAACAGAATTAAGTTGAGTGTTTAAAATTTGAAAAACAGACAGACCTTTATGGTAAAGGCTCACCATATGCTTAGTGTTCAGCTTTCAACTTTGTACACATACTTGAATAGTGAGAATATTTACTTACATACCACAGAATCCCCCCCAACCCGCCTCCAAAAATCAGCCCTGCAAAACTGGGGGCATGTCATAAGCAAGGAAGCTTATTTTTATTGCTGGAACTTCACCGCATGGAGGTACCAAAGCATAAAACACACTGTGCTACAAGATGGTTGCCAAACTTCTCTGTTCCTGCCAGCAAATAGGAGAGGGTGCAGTCACGATAGGCATTTCAGAGCAGCTCTCAAACTGGTACTAGTTTTTGGTAAGTTTTACCCCATAACAAACATATGGGGGACAGGGCTGTGGTGGGTGTAAAGAAACATTAAAACAAACACTAGACTTAATACTACACTGTGTCCACTTATACTTGCTGTAAGGAAAAGCTATGTTGTAGCACATTTTCTTCATAAAGCCATATCTAGATCAGAACCATAAGAAAAAAAAAAAATCTTTCCCCACCTTCCCTCCCACTTTCTGCCTTCTAAAAACAAGGCATGCATTTTATTTAAGGGTTCGTAGTATGTGAAAACATTCAGTGATTTTAGTAGAAAACTAAAGGTGCTGGTTTTTCTAAAGACTACAGCTTTCAGACAATATATAGCCATGCATATTGCTTCCAGTTGAAAGCATTAATGTACTTACACTTTATCCAGGTAGGATGGCCTTCTTTTCCTTGGGGTCAACAGCACTGTCACAAAGATTGTTATGATAAAGAGAGCAAGAACTGCTCCAATTACAGCCCCTGCTACAGCGACAGAAGAGGTCTGCTTAATTGGCACATCTGTAATGTAATGCAGCACAGATTACACTTTTTCCAACTATTACGTGTTTGCTATGCTCAAAACACAAAGTATTCATTTAAGTGTTGATTTGAAATCTATTATGTTCTTTCCTTGCATCATCAAGCAAAAGCCCTCTTTCTATAACTTAAAAAGGTTACTAGTCTTAGTTGTCCCTGGCAGTTGCACAACTCTCATTTAACCTATAATAAACTAATAGATATAAAAAAGTTAGTGTAGGATTTACTGTTCAACTCACTGTTGTTATCACCATTACACTGGTTGCATGCTTAGTAATTTCCTTCTACAAAAGGAAGATGCAGTTACTGTTACTTGAGAATGTATTTTCAACTATTTGGCACGCATGTAGGAAGCAAAAAAAACCCCCAAAACAGCCAGCTTTGCATAAGTGAAAACTGCTCTTTCAAGCCTGGGAGCTGTATAAAATTTAAACACTTGAGCAAATTAGTCTTACAATTGCAATTTTAGTGTTCAAGGATGGGAAAAATGAATACACAGACTCTCTGAACAGTTAACATGCAAAAGGACTAATAACATGAACTTACCATAGCAACCCTTACCATCATTTGACATCTAAGACAGAACAGTTATAGAAATATTTAGTTGTTTTTATTTTTACAAAATATTTAATTGCTACTCTGACTGCAATGATAAGCATCAAATTATGGAATGCCTTTTGTATTCAAGCACCTTATTTCAAATCATATTGAAGTGACCCAACAAAGTTAGAAGCAGGTTTGGTTTTTTTGTTTGTTTGTTGTTTTTTACAGCTGACTGGAGTTGAATTACCAACTATAAGCCACTTTAAAATATGAAACTGTAGGTGAATAAATTATATTGAACCTCGGCACTGTTCATGTCTTTCCCAAAATAATTTTGGTTACATTTGAAGGATTCCTACTTTATTATTTCACATGCAACAGCTTGCTAGCCCCACCCCCCTCTTTTTTTTTTTTTTGTGCGCACAGGTTTTAGGAGTTCTTCCAAATTAACACTTATCAATAGTTATACAACTAAGCCACACATCCCACTGGCAATAAATAAATAATTAAAAAAACCAAGAAAACCCACATTAATAGCAGAAGTCAAAGCAAAAGTAATATGGAACAGCTCTGAGCATACCACTGTATTATATTTATACTGAATTTGGTAGGAGGCAGTGATATTTGTCCAAATAACAAATCCTTTTTTCTTTAAGTTTATGCTATATTGAAAAAAAAAAAAAAAATTCAGGTTTGTTCAGTGCTAGAGGCTGCTAGCAGAGGCACTACAATTCATTCCATTATCTCCCTCCAATTTAAATTCCCCACAATTTGAATGCATTAGTATCATTTTATAGCACCCAGTAGGATATCATACTGTAGTCAAGAATTTCAAGATGAATTCTTTTTGTTAATTTTTGCTTGCTCATGCCCAAAAAAGCTCAACTCCATTTCAGAAAAATCTTCACATCATTATATTGTTGCAGTGTTGAAAGGGAGATTATTTTCTCCTAAGGCTTAAAGACTTGGTTTTTCCTTGAAGCCTATAGCTATTTTACTCCTGTTTTACCCATGTTCCTAATAGCCACTAATCAGAAAAGGCTAAGAGTGCATCTTAAGTGGTAACGTGCCTTGAATCCTGAAGGAAAACCACCTTAACTTCATTTTGACACTGTGCACAGTTGAGAAGTGACCAACACCACTACCTTGTAGATAACAAGGTACTGAAGCTGCTGATACCACCTCAAGCACTCTTAACTAAAAGGGGAATGCTTGAGGTTCTGTCAAATCTGGTATTTCACAGTATTGTAAGTCAAGGCCTTTTCAGAGTCTGGACTGCTAAATAGCTGCCTATACTCAGCTTTGTGCACTTTTTTTCCTTTTTAAAATGAATCTTCAGTCAGTTTTGCACACTATCTGTATTAAAGAACTTTACAAAAAATGTTTATTTCACACAAAAGCTCTTCATACTTACAATCAGTTTGTTTTAATTTTTTTTTAAAAACAGGAAAATCATGTATGAACACACTGGAACAAAAAATTCTAACCCTATCTTCAAACTCTTTATTTCCAAATTTACTGAAAAAAATGTAACCCAATTTAAGATAGTGATTGAATACTTGTAAAAATTTGTTTATTACAAAAAACCAACACCAAGTTACTCTAAAAAAGAGCAACTTCATTAGCCTATGCAGAAGCAGAATTTACAATTCATGTTTTCTTAAAGACACTTCTCTGAAGACGGTTAAATAATGTACTTTGCATATGTAGAGTGTAAACCAATCCTTTCAACAGGATTTTTCAGACTGTGAGAAAAATTTACCTCGTTTACCTGAGTTGACACTGAAGCAGAGTATTCTTCCAGTTTCTATTGCATTTACAGTCGAATTTTGTTCAACAAACGCATGTAATTATCGATTATGAACCTAAGCTGCCTGGGTAACATGCTATCCTTTCATCTCGAGTTTCACTATTAATTCTGTAGCCTTCCATGTCCCCCATCCACCTCCACAAGACAAGGTGTCGTTTGTCCTAATGTACACATTGTAGTTACTATAAGGCTCTAAACACTTGCTGCCATGTTAAATCTTTTTACAACTAGAAAGCTTTGAGAAACATGGAGGAAGCAATCTTGAAAAGAAACTAGTAGGTATAACTCATAAAAAAGTGAGGCCTATTTCTTTCTTTAGGCTTCCACATTAAGGCAAGTTTCTCAGAATAAAATTATTTTTTTTTTCAGCCTATACATTTATCTCTAAGTGGTTTCACTGATGTCTGTTAAGTCCCTTTAACTTTTACATTTTAATAACTGCCTATAACACTGATATCCTTGTCATTTAGATTCCATTCCACATACTAGTAGGACTGATACAGTGAACCTAATGAATACAAGTAAGATGATTTTGGCTTTTGCTATTGACTAAGCAACCTTAGACTCTTTTCTAGCCAAGTCATCACTATTGTGCTTAACAATTCCATTTGCAAACTTGACAGTCAAACCCAGTAAAGACAAGCTAAACTGCCTAGTATATGGAAGTAGCAAATTCTGCTTCCACGGGTGAACTACTGCAGAATTATGCTTTTCAATCTCCTTTACGGCTTTAAGAAGATATGCTGGTTGTTTTGTTTAGTGTTAAGAACGCAAAGCCATGTGTGCCCTTTGCAAGGTATGCATTATATTTTCTCTGAAATTCAAAACTGCCCTAATTGGCATTTGATGGTTTTTTTTGCCCTCCATTTATTATTCTTCTGTTGATATTTTTGTTTGGTTGGAACCAGAGAACATAGAAAGTTTGTCATTAGATGTGCATTTCCAATTATACTTTTTTATGTTTTAGATTGCCTATACAACTGTAAGACTATAAAAAGGGACAAGATTCTCTATTTGTCTCCCTTACAGATTTCATTTTTGAGAATTAAATATACCATAAAAATAACTTCTCATTTTCAATTCAGACAACGCTGACTTATTTTAAATTGCTACTCCTCAGCACTTGTTCATAAGATAGACTGCTTTTTCAGTGCAATGCTTTTTCTTTGAAAAGTAATGGTACACTAAACAAAATTACTAGAGGTATTTTTTGTGCAGCAAGTCTTCAAGGAATACAGCTTAACAAAGCAAAAACAAACAGAAAAAATAAACCAACACACATGAGTACCACACAAAAAGAAAAAAAAAACACCACACAAAAAGAAACCGTTCTAAACAGAACCAATATTCGCAGCAGCAAGTTGCACTTCAATTGAGTTTACCTTTGGTGAAGTGCAACCCAGACTTACTCAATTTTCTAGATCTGAGAGTACACCTAACAAGTTATCATCATCTCAGGTATTTTTTCCAATCACAAAAGGCAAGACAGTTGCTTTTCAATTCTTTATAACAATTTTGTAGGGTAACTTTAATTCAGCAGTTTGTTACCTGTGCCATAGACCAATAAAGTACTCTGCATTAAAATTCAGATCTTGAACAACAGTAGTACAGCAATGAAAAAAAAAAAATCAAAGCAGCTCAGATACATTTTTATCCAGATTTTACATTTCCATCTGTCAACTTACAATATAAAAAGCTTGAAAATCAACTTCAAAAAGCTTATTCCTCAAGTCAAAATATAAACAAATCTGAAAGTAATCAGCTAATGAATGGAACTGTAGGTACCAAGTTAGATTTTCAGTTGTTACTACACATACCACTCCCTTCGGGATATTACTGAGCCATCTACATGGGAAACAAAGTCTTCTTCATTGTCATCATAACATTCGCTACCCATATATTTCATCCCCAGTGTTCCACTTTCATAATAATCCATTGGTCTTTCATACCGTTCCTGGTACCTGTTAATATTGCCTACATTGTTCCACTCTGGCTTTTCAGGGTCTTCTAAATAGTCTTTAGATATCAGACTGTTCATTGGATGCTTTATTTCTTTTTTTACACTGTCAGGGTAAGAATCCACATCATCTGACTGGAGAACATCTATTTGAGACTCTTTTTGCATATCAGTTGGCGGAATGTAGTTCTTAGCAAAGTAGTCACCACGGAACGTCCGTCTTCTCCTATAGCAGACAACTCCAACCAAAATGCTTACAAGTATCAGGAAGAGAGCCCCACCCACTGCACTACCGATGATGGTACCCCAATTGTCTTCCTGCATTGCTGGCAAGGTTGATGTTGGAAAATATATTAGTTTAGGTTCTGTTGCTAAACCTGTGATGCCATCAGTTGAAGGATGCCATGGAACCGTGGGTGGTCGTGTGGTAGTAGTAGGAGGATCTAATGAAAAGAGCAAACGAGGTAGACAAGACAGAAAAGGCAAAGAATGTCAATGCAAGCTAAATCAGTTAAGAGTTTAAGTAAGCCAAGGTGATGGATATGTAAAATATGTTTTCTACCAACAGTATAGTTTTTCATTCTTTAATTCTTAGATTGCTCTATTTTCACAGTACTTTAGCAGCATAAAGTTTTTCCAATAATTATGGAATTGGCTTTCATTTATAGTTTT